AAGTTCAAAAATTAACAAGTTAAATATATCCATATCCAACATACGTACACGAGTATTGTCAACTTATAATATAATATACTAATTTAAAATTTCTAATAAAAATTTTTAAACAAATTGATTGTATACATGTCGACACTCATTCAAGTCCTATTAAGTAATTATAATAAATGATGAATATTCATGAAATGGAAAGAAAAAAAGCGTAAGTATACATCAATGTAAACATAATTGTAAGAACGGATAATAAATACACAAACTTCTTATAATTATGTACATTAAAACCATAACAAATGCATGAAAGGAAACATAGATATGTGATTAAATCTCACATTTTCCAATAGGTTGGTTTGAGATCTCCATCTAGCTTTGCCATCTGCATCACATGAGAAAATTAAACATCTCAAAACAGTTCAAAAGATTCAAAATTTGTAACTTTCACTTTTTGTTGGTATGTATACTTTTTAAAATACCTTTTGACTTTGGTTTAAGTCTAGAATCGGCTAAACCTTAGCTCTGATACCATTAAATGTAACACCTAAACCCGTACCCAACCCGAATACGAATTCAAGGTGTCAAATTAACTATTCAAAACATGTACTTTTATAAAATACCATAGAAAATTTAAACTTTCATTAATATAAGGTTAACCTTTTACAATAGTATGTTCAAAACATTACCAAACTCGATCAGAGCATACATAATTAACGACTTTGTTTACATGCCAACATGTCTATTACATAAAAAGACATACTTTACAAAATAGTTCTGATCTGATCTTTAAGTGGAGATATGTTGTTCTGCTGGTCCTAAGCTTAATCCTCTTGCTTATCAGCACCTACGTGTAAAACACTTACACGCTAAGTCATAGACTTAGTGAGTTATGTAACCATTAATCTAAACTATAAATACTCAACAATTGCATGTATATTTCAAACATCACAAACTTATATGCACACATATCATTATTAACATTCTTATCATTCATTCATATAATCATATACTCTTAAAACTAACAATGTATATCATATCACATAACTCTAGTAATACTTTTCACATTTCAAGGCATATATCTCATACACAATGCACTTATTTTAATTTTTCTTTATTAGCCCATGTATACTTTTTAGAACTTAAGGTATGTGAGTACATAGAGGTTGTGCACATATGCTGTCACCACAGCTCGTATAATTCCCACTAGGGGCACGTAGGATTTGTCCCGAAGGACCAGCATATCTTGAAGGACCACTATGTTTCAAATGACCACATATCACATATATCCCAAAGAACCACTCCTTAAGAACCATATACATATTCCAATGGACCAAATAAGAGTGAAGTACCGCATATATGTTCCAAGGGATTACATATATGTCCCGAAGGACCACGTAGAACCCTCGACTCTTGGCATGCCAACTATACCCCTAGCTCTCATAACACATAACATGGGCACTATTATTTATATTTATCACACATTCACATATTCACACATTCACATATTCACACAGTTCACTTACACGTAGATCATTTCCATATGATTCACATGTCACATATCACATAGCTTATATCTCTTGATCATTTAATCACATAACGTCTTATCACATAGCTCATAATTATATACATGTTCTCATATAGTTAATATCCTTTCTCACATAATCACATAATTCACTTATATCATTTAACATAAGTTATCATATCAACATGCATTCACATAACTCATTTAACATACATAGTATATCATGCAACTTATGCAATAACTTATGATACATACACTTTCATTCATATGCTCTACATACTTGTATCCTTATACTAATATAATCTATTATCAGAATTAGACTTATCGCAAGTCTTAATTCAATATTATAACTTACGCTTAATATCATGTACTCACATTGGTTTACTTGCCAATACCAATCTCTTATTTTCTTTCAAAATTCTTACTCTGACGACCTATCCGAACTTTGCTTTCGATCGATATCTATACGAATATAATCAAATGAATATCGAGATTTGAATTACTTGACAAAATTCATATCAAAGAAAACTAAATAAAACACTAATTTCCACTTTCTAACTTAAGTAGTATCGGTACTATCAGCATAGTAACGATACTTCTATGCTGTGGTACCGATATCCCCTCCGGTATCGATACCAATATTAGATTCGATGTTTCATGGTATCGATACGTTCCACACTGGTATCGATACTAGAAGTATCGATACTATCACTTTAATACCGATACTTCATGAAGATTTCTTACTCTACTTCCTTATGGTATTGATAATGTTCATGCAGTATCGATACCTCTTGCATAAATTTATCATAAATTGCCTTGTAGAATTGGTACTAACTCAACCAGTACCGATACTACTACCCAGAATATGGTTTCTAAAACCTAAAAATTACAATACTTAACCCCAAACTCTACTTATTTAGTTCTCTTCATGCTTTTAAACTCAACTATACATACTCAAACCATCATATATCACTATAACACCTCATCATCATCAATAACACACTAAAACTCTTGAATTTAAGAATTTTACTAAACTTTTCATGTGTTCTAATTTCATTTCTAATGCTTTAAACTTCTTAATATTTCTAATGCTTTAAACTTCTTAATATTTCTAATGCTTTAAACTTCTTAATGCTTCTAATGACAAGTCAAATTTATCTATAGAACTTCAAAAACCTCTTCATACAAACAATTCATTTCTATACTCTTATTACAATTTTCTTTCTAATTCTCTATTCTTGATTTTTTAAGCTTATATAAGTTTTATTTAATCTTATAGAACACCCAAAGACTCAAAACCAACTTAGAAATTCAAGAAATCAACAGTTGAATTCAACTTACCTTTTTAAAGGAGACCAATAGGAAGAAGAAGAAGAAAAAGACAAGGTAGATAAGCTTCCAGATAAATATCTCCCCCAAATGCTTATCTCTTAATAAAGAGATAAATATCCAAATTACCCTTCAATCTTTCCATATATGCTATATAATCTCATACCAAATATTCATATTTAAATCCTTGAACTTATCAATTTTCCTAAATTGATAACCAATTTTCAAAAACTTTCATTTTAGTCACTAACCCGGTTTTTGGGATGTTACAAATCTCCCCCTTATAAGAAAATTCGTCATTGAATTTTTCACTTCACAACGAGATGGAGAAATCCTTTATATACTCAAAAAATCTTGGTTTACCCTTACTATTAACCTTATACTCATATACAATCCTCATTCGAAACTCAATACATATAACCTCGATGATTGCTATTACTTGCACAAAAAAATATGGTCTTAAATTTCTACTCATACTACATACAAATTCAACACAACTTATTCACTTGAAAACCATGCCCTATTTATTAATCTCTAATAGTTCATCACCTATCGCTTCAAATCAAATCTTTCAATTCTCCTTCTAATTGTACTAGCATATAACTGTATTAATCCCAAATCTATTAAAATCAAAATTACTTTACCACATTATTGAAATTTACCAGCAATAATCTCTGAATCCTCAAAATATTCATAGGCCCCTAAATTATAAACTCGACAGTTGGATGCATATCCTGTTGAATGGATGACTCATACTGATTTCTTCCACGACCTCTACCTCTATTTCTCTGAGATACCGTAACAGATTTCTCTCTTTGCATAATCCCATCAGTCATGAATGGACAGTCTCGAATAAAATGTCCAACATCACCACATCTAAAATAGGCTCCTGAAATCACTCGACATACTCATGTATGATTCTTTCCACAATGTGAACATTGCCTGGATTGACTTAGATTTGATCTTTTAACCGAAGAAGCAGCTGGTTCAAACATATCCTGAGTTTAAGAATCCAAATCTCTACTTTTCTTTTATAGCGATGAATTCAACAAAGTACCAATTCTCTTAGACTTCTGAACTTTTTTTCTCTTTAAATCTCTCATTCTAAGCTCTCTCTAGAGCTTTAGCTTGATTGACCACCTCTTGAAACGAAGAAAAATTCAAGGCTAACAACAACTCTTTTAGCTTAGGGCGTAAACCCTCTACAAACCAATCACATACATCCTTTTCAGTTGGAATAAGCTTAGTAGCAAAACGACTTAACTTGTAAAACTCACATTCATATTCGTACACTGTATAATCCCCTAGCTTCAAATTAAGAAATTCTTGCTTCATTTGTCTAATAAATTGGTCACCAATATACTTACGCTTGAATTCTTCCAAGAAGAATAACCATGCCACTTGATCACTTCTCAATCTCATGGTGACATTTGTCCACCATATTCTAGCTTAATCACGCAACAGCGAAACTATTCCATCTAATTTCTCCACGTCAGAATAGTGGAGTCCATCCAACATTATCTTAACATCGTTCAACCAAAGATCCGCGGCAACAGTATCTTCCTCAACTTCACCCTTAAACTCAGGTGCTCCTAAACCTTTCAGTTCCTTAACTATATTCATTCGAGGAGCTGAGGGAGCATGAGGTTGTAATCCAGAATCACTTGTATTCACGACTAAATTGAACCCCCACCATTTCCAATTGCATGTCCAACTTTCAGTTTCATAACATACAAATATTATAACGTTTTCCCCTTGACAATGTAAAACCTTAACTCTGATATTATTAGTAACCATTTTTCAATTTTTATTAATTCATGGAATAAAAAGCATTGAATAGTTTTCAAGAAATTAAATTCCAGTACAAAACCTTACTGAAAGTTTATTTTCAAAATCTAGATGTTAAATCAAATTTAGCCTTTGATTTAGAATAGAAAGAGAGAAACAAAAGCTTAGGTTAAATTAAAACTTACCCAAAGAGGTTGTTATAATTTAGCTTCTAAAGAGCATAGACAGGGAAATGCCGCGAGGGAGAGAAAGAGAGAGGTCACAAAGTCACATAAGGCATAGAATTTTCTTCTAAAAGTGAAGCAGAAAACCCAGAAAAGGGCATTAAGGCTTATTGGAAAAATGATATATCTTAAAGAAAATACTGTACCTTTCTCTGTGATATCGTCCTTGTTAATTGCGCTGAAACACCAAAGTCTGCAACCTGTTGCAAGGCCATAAATTAACTTCCAGCAGCAAAATGCATAAGTTCACCCATTTTATACATACACCCATAACCACTCAATACAAAGAATTCATGCTAAATGTGAGCCCATTAAAGAGAAGTACCTTAACATCACCTTTCTCAGACAATAAAATGTTTGCCGCTGACAACAGAGATAGCAAAAATGTTGTCAGTTAACAGTATAAATAACCTAATTAATTAACTAGTTAAATAAATTAAAGGAAGGGTGAAAATAAATGAGACAAATAACTTAAAGAAAAAAATATGCCTATACAAGTCTCTAAAACCAAATGTTCATCTTATCTTTACAAAAACTATATTTATAATTATAAGGGGAGGTAAAGAAAGAATAAAAAGGAAAACCTTTGATATCTCTATGAATCTTTCCTTCATTATGTAAATATTCAATTGCATGCAGTAAATCCCTTGAAATACATGCAATAGACATTTCATCTAATGGGGGGCCTGACTGGAGCTGCACATAAAGAATCACCATAAGCTTTCAATAAGAAATAAACTCCAAAAGAATCTCAGTTAGTAATAGAAGCAAATTAGCTTTCAGTTGCATGTAACAGAATCACCATAAGCTTTCAACAAGAAATAAGCGCCGAGAGAGTTCATGAAAATTTAGGAGCAAAGCTTCTTTATTATTCAATCAAATATCATGTGCCAAATGTGTAAAGCAAGTAATAGAAGTAACTTACTAGGTCAGCAATTGAACCACCAGCCATGTATTCCATTATTATCCATATCTTGGTTTGGTGAAGATAGGAGCCATAATATTCGGTGATGTATGGACAGTGGCATTGTGATAAAACAGAGATTTCCTGGAACCAAACACACACACACATATGGAAGACTTAGTAACGTTCTCATTGATTACTATGGATACTAGCTCACAAGATAACAAGGTAATACCTTCTGGATGTCCTCAATCTCATCCTCACTGCAAAAATAAAAAATAAAGCTTGTATAAGAAACAAATAAAATATGAATAGCAAAACACAATATGTGAATGGAAGTTGTTAAATGCCACATCTACTTACATAAAATAAAGGCATTTAAAAACTCACATGCAAATTGATTATATGTATTGGGACTTCTTGGATGAATGGGAAGATACATTTGCTTTGCTTAATGTCGTAACCGGTTTTTTGTCCGGGCACGAAATTTTACTTGGCAGGAAAAATAATGTGGATAAAATGATTTTGATTTAAAAATGTTTTGGGAGTCGTCATTGACCTTTTTGAATTAGGTAGGTCAAATACCTAAAAACAATATTTTAAAATAGTTTTTAAGAAAACATAATTTAAAAGATTAACTGATCTGTGTATAACCAAAAAAATTTAATAAAGAAAGAATTTGTGGTCGATTACGTTTAGGGAATGATTAACACCCCTATAACGCCCAAAATTGGTACTCATTAATTATAATTTGTCTCTATTATTAGAAATTTTAAAAATTCAAATATATGTTTAATTTATAATCTTGTTATTTCAAATTTATAATTTTAAGAAAATCTATTAATTTATATATATAAATAAGATATTTATTTATTTAGAAATATCAGAAAAGGGCTTCTAGGTGCTTTAAGACAACTATTTTCTTAATATTCAAAAATATAAATATTAAAATATTTATCTAAAATTAAAAATCGATATAATTTATAAAAGTGATATATTTAATTATTTAAAATATCAGAAAATGGACATCCAGTTGCTTTAAGACTGCCCTTTCTTAATATTGAAAAATAAATATTAAAATATGATTAAAATGATTTAAAAGTAATTTATTAAATTTATAAATAGGATTTTTATAAAATAAATAGATAAATATTATTTATTATATATATATTTACATGACTAAATAATAATAATAATTAAATATATGAACATATAAAATTTAAAATATAACTAAACAATAATTAAAATTAACATTAAATATAAAAAGTAATAAAACTTATAATTAAATAAATGTATTAAAATTAGTGGCTAAATTATAACATTTTAAAATTAGATATCCTAATTATTTATTTAATTATTTAAAATTACTTGGACTAAACATGCTATTTTACCAAATTATTACTTTAGGGACTAAAATAAAATTATATAAAATTAGAACATCTAATTAAAATAAATTAAAACATGATGTTCGATTAAAATAATAATTACTAAAATCATAATGGCTAATTCGGTTATTTTACCTATAATTAAATATAATTAAATCAGTGACCAAATTATAAAGGAATTAAAATTCATGTGCCAAATTAAAGAGATCTAAATTTGATTCAGTGACTAAAATATAAAGTCACAAATTTATAATGGCTGCGGGTATAATTTACCCGTTCAAAATTACATCCATACCCCTCCTCAAAACGGCGTCGTTTGGGAAGGGGTATTTAAATCCCTTACAGCCGGCCCTTCGGGCCATCTTCTTCATTTTCTTATTTCTCATTCTCTCTCTAACTGAGAGACATGAGAACTCTCTGTCCTCTCTCTATATTTCCCTCGTCAAAGGGAAACTGGTCGCCGGCCGGCAGCCGTCTGCCGTTGCAATCCTCCGTCGCCGGCCACCGTACATGGTGGCCGTAACAAAAAATTTTACCCCAAATTAAAGCCCATTTTTTATCACAAATATGGTTTCTTTTTTACATAAAAAACCCTAAATCACCCTAGATCTAAAAAAACTGAAGGTTTTTTTACCTTCGATGGCTTTGTTTTTCTGGTTTCACGTGAAGACCCCGACGGCCGTGGTAAGTGTTTTCTTCTTTTCTTTTCTTTTCTTTTCGAATGGTTGTTGTGGGTTTTCTTTTTGGTTGCCTTTCGTTTTTTTTTCTTTTGCAGGTGAGATGGTTTTTATAACCATCTCCGGTGATGGTTTCGGATTGGGTAAAGAGGTTCCCTTCGGTGAGTCACCGAACTTGTGGTGACTCACCAAAAAATGGGGACACGTGTGAGATTGTTGTTGTAGCAGCAAGGTTTCTGGAGTCTCCTGTTGGCGTCGTGGCAGCGAGTGGAGTGGCTGGAAGCAGAGGCGGCGGCTCGTGGCCCTAGGGTTATGATACCCTAGGGTTTCAAGCTGGTGCATCTGGGACCGTTGGATCTCATTAGATCCAACGGCTGATGATTGAGGGCGGTTGGAGAAATTGATACAAACCCTAAATAAGTTTAGGGTTTATTTATTGGGCCGATCTTGGGTTGGTCTCTTGTAACTGTGCCGGTCTGGGTATGTAATGTAAATAATATATAATAAAATAATAATAATATATAAAATAAAGTATGATAAAATAATAATAACAATAATAATAATAATAATAATAATAAAAAAAAACAAATGGATGAAAAATTAGTATCTTCAGTTGCCCCTCTTTACTCATTCTTGTGTTAACAAGAATAGGGAAAAGACGAAAAGAATATAAGTTTTTTATCCATTTGACTTCACTTAATTATAATGGCAATGTTGAACAAGTTCTTCTTATTATGACTATTCCACTGATTGACAATCTCTTCTACAAGTTGAACAAGCTCTCTTGAACTTCTCTCTCGTCAGATGAGTTCTTCTCATTATGAACACTTCTGGAAATGATGCTGATCTATCTCCTTCTGTGATAGAATCAAACAAAGGTTGAACAAGCTCTTCTCATTATGAACTTCTTCTTCCTCTTCAGATAAGTTCTTCTCATTATGAACTTTCTCTGGAAAAGTTGATCCTGATCTATCTCCTTCTGTTATAGAGTCATGCAAAAGGTTGAACAAGTTCTTCTCATTATGATTCAAATAAGTTCTTCTCATTAGGAACTTTCTCTGGAAAAGTTAATCCATCGGGTGATGAATTCAAACAAAAGGTTTGAACAAATTCTTTTCATTATGAATTTGTTCTTCCTTCTTCAGATGAGTTCTTCTCATTATAAACCCTACCTGGAAATGCTGATCCATCAAGTGATAAATTCGAGAAAAAGGTTAAACAAGTTCTTCTCATTATGAACTTCTTCTTCCTTCTTCAGATGAGTTCTTCTCATTATGAACTCTTCCGGAAATGTTGATCCATTGAGTGATGGATTCGAATCTTTGCTAAAATCTTTGAAATTCCTGTCAAATATTTAACATGGATAAAATGAATGAAAATGCCCCTATTTTGCAAATATCTAAATATGATGCATGAATGTTAATTTCATCTTTATTTGATTTCAAAGTGGTGAGCTCGGTCTTTCTTCAATTGTGTAGAAATCCAATAAATCTTTATTCTTTGAACAGAGAATCTATCATCTTTGAAGAATGTAGATGTAGAGATTGCCTGAATTTTTGTATGATGTCACAAAACCACTTGTGAACAAAACTCAATGGTATAGGCTCTTGAAAAGTCAGCACTCATGCAACATGTTGATTCTGATAACTATTCATCTGATTATGAAGCAATCTTTCAGGATGATTTCACAGATATTGATAGTTCTTCTGATACCAAGGAAATCCTGAATTCTGATTCTGATGAGGAGAATAAACTGTTATACTTGACGAAAATGGGGCAATCAGAGGCTGAGGCTTCAATAGCCATATAGAGATGTGATCCGGATTCATCAATTGCAGAGTTGACAGATTTTATATATGTTGTTCAAATGGCTAAGGCTGCTGACACACTTCTTCTGGTAGAAGATAGGAAGCCATTATGAAATGCCCTAATTATAAGAAAAGGTGAAACTCAGGCTATGATTTTTGAAAAAGGAAGAAGCAGAGGAATATTGAAAAGAAGCTTCTTAACGAAGACAATCATGCAGTTCATTTTCCAAATCCAATGATTATTTTGGGGTTCCTACCGAACCAGATCAGATAACTCAAAGAACACTTCTAGAAGATGCTATTAGGCCTTCTTATTTCTATTACGAGAACATGGTACTTGCTCCAGTTGGTGTTTGAACTGAAATGTCATGGTACTTATACGATATAGAGCCGAAATTTATAAATTCGAAGTATTTTTGTACTGCTGCACGGAAAAGGGGCTATAATGATAATCTGCCAATTGAGAACATATTTCTTCTCATTCCACTTCTAAATGACTCTATGGTGGTAATAACTTGTTTACTTTTCAACAGTGATTGAAAATGTCGATAAGAGTTACTTTAGATTCCATGCACTTAAAAGTATTAACAAAAAGTAATAGCCAGAAATATTTTGTTTGTTTTAAGATTATGTTAATCCATTTATAGGATGTTTATGTGAAAAAATAAATTGAATTTCGAACAAAAGAAATTAAATTTCAAAAAAATAATCGTGGAATAAATAATATATAAAAATATATTCAAAGTCATGGCAAACATAGGAATGATAAAAATTCAAATGACTCAACAAATATTAGCATAAGTATTTCTAAACTAATCAACTTGATATAATTTAGAGCACTAAGGTAAGCTTATGTCTGGAAGATCTCAAACGTTGCCAGA